GCGTCACATGTTTACAACTGGCCACATTCCACGGTTGGTTATCTACTAGCCTGCAAGCCCGTCAGATATTTTCAACTACGGGCAATGTTTTCGGTAATTTCAAAGAAAAAAAAGTAAGTTTTGTTATTTATTGTCACGTGCAGTATTTCTTGTTAATTATTGTGTTAATAATTGTGTTGAAAATTTGACTATGTAACAAGGCTAGATGCGTAAATAGAAGAGTTAGGGGCTATCCGGTTTTAGAATATTTAAAAAAAATATAATTCAGAACTTGGTTATTTTAATTTTATGATCTTCATCTTGAATAATTAACAGCTGATGTATCTGCAAGAACTCTTCGTCAGAGAAAAAATATTTTAAAATAGAACGCGATATTTAGGAACGTGTATATATTATATAGATCTAACACAGAAGTAGGACACTTTAAAAAAATTCCCTCTGTCCCTCATAAAGTTTGATGACAGTTCCATAAAACATTTCTTCTTGTTCTTGTTTAGGTTGAATCATCAGATTACAGCACTGAATGTTTTTTTTTCTTTATGACCTATTTTAAAAATTCACCGCAAAATTTTTTTTATAGCTTAAACGCACTTCATCCACACAACCGAAGACACATTTAAGTAAAGCAAAATTGTTGGAATTTAAAAAATTAAAATATTGTAAACTGGAATCACACCATTTTAACCATTTTTAACAGTAACATTTGACAAAAACAAGAATCAAAGGCGATTTCACTTTTCCTAACTCAGGTCGGGTACCCATTAGAGTTGGGTTAACTCAGAGACATTATATGGACACAGATCTAGTATTTGATTTCACGACTTGCAGGTTAGCAGTCTTGTGCTCTACCATCAGACCACGCCGTCCCACTATCTTATACCACCACTGTATATAACACGATATAACAATGATAGACCACGTCTACCCTCTCCGTGTAATTCAACGTGTGAGCGATCTTTAAGATATCTGATGACAGTTTTATATCGTGTTTACAAAATATAAAAGGGAAAATAAAAACGTTTCGAGGGTCTAGGTCATACAGACAAATAAAGAAACAGTCCTTATCACCAAACAAATGGCGGCTTTCTTACTTCCGGGTTGTGACGTAAGTTCCGGCTTCAGGTATCGAGCACAAGCCGAAAGTTATCGGAGTGTCCCATGTTGAGGCGAGACAAGATTGTTTACGTAACTGTTCGGTGTCGGGTCTGTAGTTCCATGCATCAGTGACTGGCACGGATGGGCTGCCAGGGTTAGAGAGTCATCTGAAAATCTTATTGGAGCGTAGGCCTACATGCATACCTGTTAACGCTAAATATTTCTAGATTATATATATATATATATATATATATATATATATATATATATATATATATATATATATATATATATATATATATATATCTATATATATATATATATATATATATATATATATATATATATATATATATATATATATATATATATATATATATATATATATATATATATATATATATATATATATATATATATATATATACAGTGGTCCTATGTAGAAGAAAAATAATGTGTGGCCAAAAGCCCGGACCTCTACGCTGGTTCAAGTTTTTAAAAAAAATTATATATTGAGGTAATGACCATTGTCTTGTTGTCTACGCTGTCATCATACATGAAACTTGCCGGTAGAAAGGTAGATTCAATAAATGCCGTTCTCAACTCCCCATACAAAATCAGCTTTCACTCCCCCCCCCTCCTACGTACATCCGTCCCCCCCCCCCCCCCCACGTATATCCACCCCCACCCCTGTCCATCCACCTCTGGTTGCCTGCAGACATCATTAGGGCTCCCGTCTATAAACAAAGTTATCTTCCAGCGGCTCTGGTTCCTGATACAGCTGGCACTAACTCACAGCTAACCCTAAATCTAACAGACGCACTGTATGCTGATCTCACTGTCCTAACCCTAACCATAGCCCTAATAAACGCACTGTATGCTGATCTCACTGTCCTAACCCTAACCATAGCCCTAATAAACGCACTGTATGCTGATCTCACTGTCCTAACCCTAACCATAGCCCTAATAAACGCACTGTATGCTGATCTCACTGTCCTAACCCTAACCATAGCCCTAATAAACGCACTGTATGCTGATCTCACTGTCCTAACCCTAACCATAGCCCTAATAAACGCACTGTATGCTGATCTCACTGTCCTAACCCTAACCATAGCCCTAATAAACGCACTGTATGCTGATCTCACTGTCCTAACCCTAACCATAGCCCTAATAAACGCACTGTATGCTGATCTCACTGTCCTAACCCTAACCATAGCCCTAATAAACGCACTGTATGCTGATCTCACTGTCCTAACCCTAACCATAGCCCTAATAAACGCACTGTATGCTGATCTCACTGTCCTAACCCTAACCACAGCCCTAATAAACGCACTGTATGCTGATCTCACTGTCCTAACCCTAACCATAGCCCTAATAAACGCACTGTATGCTGATCTCACTGTCCTAACCCTAACCATAGCCCTAATAAACGCACTGTATGCTGATCTCACTGTCCTAACCCTAACCATAGCCCTAATAAACGCACTGTATGCTGATCTCACTGTCCTAACCCTAACCATAGCCCTAATAAACGCACTGTATGCTGATCTCACTGTCCTAACACTGACCTTAACCCTAACAGCGATACCGCAAAAAAAGAATGTTCGATACGATCCTGTTAGGACGAGAAAGCCGGTCATCTTCAAGATGAGCACTATCTAAAACAGAAATTATGGGATGTGACGGGGGTCGGGGGGGGGGGGGGGGGTTCGGGTGTAATCCGTAAACATCAGCAGGTTTTTTAAGACACCCTCCCTCAAAATGTCAAATTTTATTTTTTATAAGTAGCTTTTTCCTTTCTGAATTATTCAATGAGTTCGATCAACATTGAGGAGGTCTACATTGATAGCTTTCTGTTACAGTCTAAAAAAAAAAACGGGAGTGATCTCCTTTAACCTTTCTAGAATATTCTTATATAAAACAACAGGGGATGGGAACTCGGGATATAGACATGATTTTTAATCTTTTTTACATAGGCCTACTTTAACTTTTTAAAATAGAATAAAATCTCGTGGCAAAAGAAATGCACACCAAGTGAACGCCAAATAAAATGTGCGCAATATTATTAGTACTTTATGAATTTACATTAGTTTTTTTGAGAAATCGGAAATAGCGTAAATTACTACTTCCGGTCAACGGAAATTACTCAAAATTTGATAGAAGGTAGAGACATAGATCTTTTACTTACATGTGAAATTTCAATTATCTATCTGAAATAGTACTCAAGTTATAGGCTTTTGAAAAATTCAAAGTAGAAAAAGTACCACTTCCGGTTATCGGAAATCGCTCAAAAGTTGAAACGGATCTACGATTTTGATAAAATACTTATATATGAAATTTCATCAACCTAGTTGTAACGGTACTCAAGTTATCGTGTTTACACACACACAGACACATACACACACACACACACAGATATACGGACAAGATTGCAAAACTATGTTTTGCAAAAATCTCGATTTTTTTTTTTGCACGATTACAAGACTTTCTCTATACTTTGTATATACGAGAAAATAAAAACGCGAAATAACTGCTCAAATTCATTTTCTGCATTTGCTTTTTAAAATGCAAAGCTGTCACATATTCTAACCCCCTCGTCATCCATTGTCACAAAAGTCCACCCCCCCCCCCGCCCCCACCGTTGTGACTTCGTTTATGGACGACCCTTAGTACGCCCCTGTACCACAAGTAAAGGACTGTATTGACGTCATGACGTCATTTGAATGTTCCAACATACAGACGACAAAATGTTCCAGCTTACAGACGACAAAATGTTCCAATGACGACAAAATGTTCCAATGACGACAAAATGTTCCAATGACGACAAAATGTTCCAATGACGACAAAATGTTCCAATGACGACAAAATGTTCCAGCTTACAGACGACAAAATGTTTCAATGACGACAAAATGTTTCAATGACGACAAAATGTTCCAATGACGACAAAATGTTCCAGCTTACAGACGACAAAATGTTTCAATGACGACAAAATGTTCCGACGATAAAAGAAGAAAAATCCCAGGTAAAATAAAAGTTTAACGCGGGAACGAAACCCGATCAGCCTTAAAAAATAATTTACGACTGTTTTCAGCTGTTGGTGTTATTTTTTAGTTCATGACCCATTTCCTCGATTCGAAGGTAGCTTCTACACATGTTCATTTGCTTAGAATACTAGTAAGATTGCTTCGTATTTAACGTCAGATGTAAACAAATCAAAATACATGGAGGGCCTAGTTGTATTTATTTTTAGGGGGCATATTAATGATATAATATCGTGTTACATAATTTAGCAAAGGCAGCTGTATTCAAATCAGATAGAAAATTACGTAATTGAGTCACCCCCCCCCCCCCCACCGAGTCAATTCCATAGGTACGACCTAGTTATATTTCTTTTTAGGGTCCACTTGAATAAGTAATATCTTGATACATAATTTTGCGAGGTAGGTGTATTTAAATCGGATAGATAATTACGTAATTGAGTCCAATTCCTCCCCCCCCCCCCCCCAAGCGGTTAAATTAATATACTAACAAGTCCATTGCATAGGTAAGACCTAGCTATATTTATTTTTAGGTTGCGTATTAATACGAATACGTAATATGTTGATACATAATTTTGCAAAGGTAGCTGTATTTAAATCAGATAATTACGTAATTGACACCCCCAAGCGTTTAAATTAATATACCACCGAGTCAATTCCATAGGTATAAAAAGTTACCCCCCCCCCACCTCCCCTTTAGCAGCGACGTCGTTTAGCGCGAACTGTTTGAAAAAAAAAACGTGTCTCGCGCGCCGCGTGAACCGACTTCCCTCGCCTGACCTCGCCTTGTTATTTTTCCACCGAGCTCTACCGAGTCGTGCGTAGTTCTCTCCCCTTTCACCACCCCTTCTCGCGCGCGCCGTGGACGAAGGGTGGCGGGCGGTGGTGTGTTCGTGTTGTGACCGAGTAGCAGAAGTGAGGGGAGGTTTTCAACCAGGGGAATATAGTTTTTTTTTTCTCAATAGATTTCTGGAGTTGGTTCTAGCATTCCTAGGATACTAACGACAGTGCTTGTGATTATTTTTGTTCAAGAATTTCTGTAAGTCTTTTGATTTTCACTCTTCTTATTGAAAGTTTAAAAAAAATTTAATTAATTATTAGAAATAAAAACAAATTCATTTTGCAAAATGTGGTAGGCCTACAATGAAAATAATCTAATTGTTCATATAAGATCTAGTAGATCTAGTAGCAATTTGGGTATTTATTTAACCACTCTATTTATCAATTAGCTTACACGCATTAGTGTATCTTATAACAATATATTTTTTAAATATACAATTCAATATACTTTTTAGGTAATATAATCATACAGGTAATGCATAATACTAAATCGTATAAAACTGACTTATCCACGTTATAATATTTAACTTTAACTCTAGAAGTCTAGTCTTAACCTTAACGTAACCCTAACCCTTATTTTTAATTTGGAAGTATCGCTTACCGCGATACCAATATCACGAATACCAGGGTATGGCTAATCGATGAGAACAGCGTTATCTAAATACCGGGACAGCGAGCAGCATGCTATTATTGTCATGTAAGGAAATGCTTAAGGTATTGTCGCCGTAGCGGGGACAGTACACCTGTAGGTGTGTTAATGGGGTGGGGTGGGTGGGGGTGGGACCAACTGATACACAAGGCCACGCTGGGTACGCCGCCCGACACCATAAGGCTACGGTGTCGGCTGTGAAGCCCCCCCACCCCCGGGGGCTGATCGAGACAGAAATGATGGGTTTTATTGAGTGGCGCGGCTGAGTTAATTAACGGATTAATTAATTTACGATTGACTTTGTGATTGAATGCGAAGGCTACGCGTCATTAGCTTTACATTCAGGATTATCTTCCTGTTACTGTAATTATTAGCTATATAGGCCTGTCTTTATGCCTTGTAGTAATAGCCCTATAACAATTACCCTAAGCCTCTATAATTTTAAAGTTTTAATTGCTAGTATTCAATTAACTACAAAGAATAATAATACCATATTTATAGCGGCTTTTTAAATATATATTTTTTTATTAAATCGGTCAACAGTAAAGCCTTATTTGAAATGATGTATTAAATTAAATCCCGAGCTATTCAAATCATGATTGTCTTTTTACTTGAAAGTAAAAGAATAGACAACTTCGTTTTTTTTAACGTTTGTTAAAATAATCTAACATCAGAATAAGAAGTATACTGTTCCTAGGTACATCTATGTAGTGATTTACTAGACGGGTGGCTATAGATTAAAGAACAATGCCGGCTCAAGCTTTTAAGCATTTGTTAGGCTGATGGGAACAAAGTTAACAATCGAGCATGTATCTTACCCATGGTACCAGACTATATACACGACAGGCAGGTGCGAGGCATATCCTGTTTTAGACGTGCGTGCAGTTCCATCAGGGGTCTGGAGCCCGGGTTTCGAACGCCAGACTTTCAGGGTAGTAAGCGAGTGTTCTACCGCTAGACCACTCCGTCGGTTGTCATCCCGTGTTGTAAGTAGGGGGTGTCTTCTACTACCTGCCCCCCCCCTTCCCACGACATATGTGACGTCACGCATTTTTGTTTTTACAATTTTTGCTTCTCTTTTATTTATTGTAGAAAAGTCTTACATAGATTCAATAGGGATCAGTTATACACATTCAGTGGGGAGTTGTAATTATATTTAGGCGGCTTCTACATAATAGCTTAAGGCCCCTATACATACATATTAGTCCAGGGCCCTTGTAAATATTAAGTAGGAGGGGTGCTTTTAAGACCGATTCAGTGTTCCCATAGGGCTTGTAAGTAGGTCACCACGCTCGTTTACGTACTTAACAGCTTGTGTTTATCAAATAAAATGTGAATATTTTAATTACATCGGTAAAAAGATGAATACGTTTGATTGTATTATTAGTAAAATGCTTATAATTGTTGAATTTTGGGTACTCTTGGTATTTGTAAATCTTGAAACGAGGCATAGAAACCAAAAAACCGCCATGTTTTTATTTTTTGGTTATCAATGGGAATCACGTTCACAACAATTATTTTAGCTCGATAATGTATATCTCTCCCTGGCTAACGAGACTTCAAATTTTAAAGCGAGAGAGACCGAGACTTACAAGCCCTCTAACGGTAGCCTGTTTCACCTAGTGAATCTAGGCGTTGAACCGCCCCGCACTGGGCCACTACACCGGTATACACACACTGGAGCATGGGCTCGACCACAAGTGAACACGCTGTTACAATATGTTGAGGGCAAGTGTCGAGATCCCCCCCCCCACACACACACCCTGGTGTCATTAAATTTATTTATATATTATATAGAGCCGTCACCCTGTCGTCAAATTTTTATTCTGATTTAAACTTAACCTGGCTAAAAATATATCATGGCTTTAAGAAATAGTTTTCTACTCTATACTGTGAGTCTCAAGTATTCCTTATTTGGCCTTTCTCTTGTTGACAATTATTAATTTATTGAAGACGAGGGGGGCATAAATTAGGTCATGCCCATAGTGTCGTAGAGAGAAGTGCTATGTGACTTATTTTATCGTGGAGCCTATATCAAGAGGAGGGAGGGGGGTAAGGAATGTAGAAAATGTGACGTAACGTAAAAAAAGGGGATGATTTAAAAATAGAAATATAGACATATAGAGGTTAATTATAGTTCGAGCTGTGGTTAGTTTGTGGGTGGGGGGGGGGGGGGGGGAAGCGGAGGGAGGTGTAAACGTAGGAACTTCTTGACGTAATTGGGAGGGGGTGTTCTGTTTTACTTAAAGCACTTTTTTTAACTAATTCTCTAAGAGTATTCACAATAGTAGCAACACATCACATCATAACTTACCCATATTTATGTAGAATCTATATAGTATTATTAAATGTTAATGTCTAGTGAGAATTATAGTTGTTTTTTTCCTGCACATGAGTCCTTGCGTACTGTTTCCTATTTAGTTTATAGATAGGTAACAGTAATTAAAACAATAAGCCTTCGTGTCGAAACATATTTTATGTGCATTTTAAAAAAGCATATTTTGTTGTGTTTTTACTTGTTTTATTTATTGTTAAGATATAAGAGTGTATCGATATTTAAGATGTAAAAACAATTAATACCATTTTTGATTTTTTGATTTGGATTATTTAAATTAAGCCGACCCCCCCCCCCCCTCACCACCAACGACTAAAAATATTAACTATAACGCTCGATCAGGAACACAGATATCTGCCCCATGTTGGAGTCCGGGATTGGTTATAAATTATATAAACAGCTCACTCGCCTGAATTATTATCGCTACTGATTAATCTTGTTATCGCCCCATTTATTATTGAACATAATAATTTCTCAAATAAAAATTAAAAAGACAAATATAATAAGCCAATCGGATTGACAATCAAATATTTTTGCGTCGTCATCAGAAACAAATGTATTTGAAAATTTCTGTGGTGAAAATGGGCCGAAATCGAGTTACAGAATTTAGCCACAAATCCACCTCTCTGTGACCTAACCATCTACTATCAGAAATTGTGTCCCAAGGAAAAAAATACGTATTAACATTTTCTTTTGTTAAGCTGGTACAGATTTTTATTTTAATTACAAATTATAAAGCCCCAAACTAAACACGTAAATATGTACATATTAATATGACTGTAGCCCAGTACTAACTCTCCCCACCCCTTAGTGACACCACTGGCGACAGCATATAGAACTCGTCGGTACGTCCCTACCAAATTTTGGGAGCCCCCCAACACCCCCTAGTGACGCCACTGGCGACAGCATGTGTATCTCGGTACATCCCCACCAAATTTTGGGAGCCCCCCAACACCCCCTAGTGACGCCACTGGCGACAGCATGTGTATCTCGGTACGTCCCCACCAAATATTGCGTCATGTCCTCCTTCCGTTCACCAACTGTCCCGTGACCCCCGCGTCTGATGGCGGTAGATGTGTGCACTGACCCGGTTACTCGCTGGCTGGGGCAGGGATGTCGTGGGCGGGGGGGGGGGGGGGGGGGTGTTTATAGCTCCGGTCTCCACGCTCTGCACTCATGTGGGCTCTGGTGATCTGTAGTACGTGACACCAGTAGCTCGTGGTTATACAGGGCACATATGCCTACACATAGAGCGTACATACACATAAACGTGCAGACATCCTCATACGTACATTTGCACATATCACACACACGTATATATATATATATATATATATATATATATATATATATATATATATATATATATATATATATATATATATATATATATATATATATATGTGTGTGTGTGTGTGCTTGTGTGTGGGTGAGTGAATGTAAATATAAGTGTGTGTGTTGTTATATTATAAAATTATACACTTCCAGTAATGCATTAATGCAGAGGCGTAGCGAGGGGGGGTGCGGACCGCACCGGTGACACCATTTAGGGGGTGACACCAAGGCAAAAAAAAAATAGCAAAATATATAGTGAAAAACTTGAGGGGGGTGCAAATCGAAAGTTTGAGGGGGGGGGTGCAAATCGTAAGTTTGAGGGGGGGGGTGCAAATCGAAAGTTTGAGTTTGCGGGGGGGGGGGGTGCAAAATCGAAAATTTGAACGTTTGTCCCCGGGAAGGGTCGCTATGCCTCTGGGGGGTGACACCATTAAGTGCCGCACCGGGTGACACCCGACCTCGCTACGCCACTACATTTATGTTTTTTTCAAATATTTTGTTACTGTTCCAAAAAAATATGTTGTGATATCGAGTCATAAATTTTATAGTCATTAATGTTATTATTAATGTTATAATTTTTCGTCTACAGTGTACAACATAATAAAACGAAACAAGCAATGATTTAAAAATCCATATTTTGTAATTTTTTCTCCAAAAATTCCCCCCGCCCCCCTAAATCTTCCCGGTATTAAAGCACCAACTGTGTTAAATATAACATCTTTACAAACTTCATAAATACTGTTCAAATAATTTATTCTCTCTCTTCTTTCTATTGACTCGATCGAACTCTTATACGAATGTATATTGAAATGAAATTTCAAATTGATCAGCTAAATTAAGTAACAGACATCGATCAAATCTGTATTCTTAATATCGGATT